ACTAAATACTATGGCTAATGTGCAGATTGGGGACAGCAGCTGACTGTAAGGGCTAACATGTGACAGGGTGCCAGCAGCGGGATTGTGCAGTATTGACTAAATGAGGTTCCCTGGCTTGTATGGAGGCTAATATCTTCTTTAAACAATTCCGTGTAAATTGTGCGTATAAAGTCACTGGAAGCTATTTCTCAGGCTAGCCTCGCTGGCTAGCTACCTGCTGGAGTGAGGAAGATAATCAATAGAAAGAAATAGAGCTGAGCACAGGCCTGGGAAGCTTCAGAGCAGTTAATGCTGATAAAAGTAGATGATGTCAATATTTGGGAATAGCACAACTCGAAGATAATAGACAAAAGAGAAGTGCATATGGTGCAGGGTGTTCAAACAGGGGCAAAATTAAAGCCTAAGTGGCAGATGATAGCCTAGGCTGCAAAAGACATTATTTAGTCCAGGTATTGTTCAAGTTTGGCTGCAGTCCAAACCGAGCAAGGGGTTCTATGGAAAAGGTACCGAACTTTTCACAGAAGTTTAAAGACCGTTTCCACTTTAATGGTCAATAGGTATGTCCTGATGATTAATACAGGAAAGCGTGTCTCCAAACAGTCGGGAGACATATATTTTTACATCTGTCATACTGTATGCCTCATTAAGAAAATTTAAAAAAATTTCTAAGGTGCTTCCAAGATGTATTAAAAAGCATATACAAAATAAAATGAAAATAGGCTGTCAGTGAAAGGGGGATACCAAACATATAAATAAGCCTAATAGCCTTTGCATATACTTGTGATTACAGCAGGCACCTTATTTTCTAAAGGTAGCGGGGCTTATTGGAAGTGAGGTAATGGTCTATTTTTACTAATTTAATACTGAAAATCAGTTTTCCTTTTGCTGTCAGGCGATGAAATTTTGTTCTTCTGCGCTGATCTTTCTGTTGATGTATTATGACATAGTCTGTCAACATGAACAGATATGTGAAAGGAGATTGGGTGCCTGAGACGTACAACCTGCATCGCACTCTTCTTGAATTTTAAGCATGTTTCCGTGTTTGGGTACAAGAAGGAAGATTGTGCTTGCTTTAAAAAGCTGTAGTTTTAGATAATTTAAGCCTAAGCAAACCAGGTGGACTGTGTATGACAAAGCTCTAAACCCAGCTGAACGAGCCCAAACCAAAACACGTTATTTCTGAACATCTTTTCCAAAGCTCTTTCCCCTCACAAATTGATTCCCCCCCAAAAAAAAAACCCCACAAAAAACGCAGAAACCTCACCCGTTGCAAAATATAAAAGTTTCTTGACAAAGAGGAGACATCGATTCCTGCATATGTGATTATCAGACATAGCCATTTTCTCCCAAATTAAACAATTCCATCACTGTAACATGCGTTTATTGTCCCAGATGTTTTTATTGTTTGGTGTTAGATATCTGGATTATATCAAGCACATGATTCTGAGGTTGGGTAAAACCGCCCAGCCTGACAGTTTTTACTTCAATCCAAGCTAAGAAATGTTATCAGGAGAGCAAGTATGTTTATCTAGGACCTAGCATATTAAACATAATTTTGACTCATAAAAAAAGCACAAGTAAATAAATCTTACCTCTGCTTTTGACTTTATGCTTTTATTTTGGGTATAATTATTTATTTTGGAAGAATTTTTCATCTTTACCAAATCACACGTTGGAATATTAAACCCAAGACGCTAGATTACAATTACAATAATTTCATATTCCAGATATCTGATCGTTGGAAGTTTTCCTACAAATAACAAAATTGGCTTTTAAAGAATCGCTTGCATGTTGTCATATATCCCATCTTTTCATCTTAAATGCAGAGAAATAAAAGACCCTTAGTCATTATTGAATTCGAAAGAAGGCTTCATTTCAAATAAAGTATGAATTTTGATTTAGAGACATAGAAAAAAAAATCTTTTAAGATCTATACTTCAACTAATTTGTTAATCTTGTGCCACTTTCAGCATTTGTCACACATATAGACCAGGAAATTGGCTCCATCTCATTCTAGCTCTGTATTGAATTAAAAACCTCTACTGCAAAGAAGAGCATGATGTGGGGAAAGAATAAATTTACTTCTTTCTTTAGTAATGCACATATATTTCCATACATTTCACATCCTAAGGGAGCCCATGAATGCATTCAATAAATACAAAACTATAAAGTATAATTCCAGAAAAGGGAAAGGTTTAAATGTTTTTCCTGATTTTAATATACCATTTGAAGTTGAGGATTGAAAATTAAATAATTTTGCACATTTCATTTTACTTGTTTCATTTTTAGCTTTAGCAGACACCTTCAGTATTAGGAATAAGTCTAAAATAATGAGTAGCTGTTGCTCTTTCCACTCGGACAATGTTAGCAGGTTTAGATCAAAGCAAACTACATATCAGCAGCGGCAAATTGAGAAAAAAAAATGTTCTCTGCCATTTGAATCTGCGTTTGCATTTGATTCACCAAAGTCCACCTTGGCTAACTCATAAACATTGTATACACACCGCATGTGTACACACATTTAAAAGGACTGTCCACTCCTATTTCATGTTGCTAGGCTAATAGGAAAGGTCTTCAATAAAGTGTGACAATAACAGGGTAGCTCTTAAGCACGATGGATGCATTGCTATGAAGGTTTTGTTAGAAGGAAATACGCTCCCCAGGTGAAGGGGACTACTAACTCCGATAGACACTTGCTGTATGTATACAGTTCTCTGTACTTTCAAGTATTGGAATCTGTGGCTGCGTTTGAGGAGACAGTGCAGTATGGGGGATTGATGATGGCCTCGCGGAAACGGAGCTGGCAAAGATTGTGGCGTCCTTGTTTAGGCAAACGGTGAGTTGAAGGCTCCTGATTTACCCTGACATATATCTACATGGAACCGTAGTTTGCAAATGGCCTGGAGGAGTCATCTTTGATTAAGTGTTTGATAGGTACCCAAATGTACATATCTATTTTAAAACGGATCCAGAATGCTGATACTGGATTTGCAAGGACTCTCTTTCACATCTTTAGATTAAAAAGACTTATAGATTTCTGTTGCCTGAAGACCTTGACAACTAATAGCCAAGAAAACTCCTGTGATGTTGAGAAATACACTTTATAATATCTTAAAATGAAGAGGTCCAATAATACGAAGAATTTGGAAAAATTGCACAGTAAAGCTGAACAGTAAGAGGTTCGGTCTTTAAGGTTTTTGTTTTTGACGTCTATGTTTTTATTCAAAGATAAAGAAATCACCTCAAAAAATGGTGCTAACGTTGGTCTGCTTAAAAGGTCGGAGTCCCTGACTCCCTCCCGTTTTAAGTGTTTAATCGTCGTTTTCATTTAAAGGATGTGCCTGGTTCTCTATTATTTTATAAGTGAAGTGAAAATACCCTGACTGAATTCAGGACTGAAATGGTGAGCAAACACACCGACAGACTTTTTTTTTTCCCTATGGGAAGTCTCATCTGTGGATGTATGATCAGAAATGACAGGATGCATGACACGAACTTGCCATCAGCCTCCTATGTATTTCCAGCGTCTGCCACCAGTATTCCTTGCTTGCCACCCCCTTTTAATTTTTATAATAGCCCAGCGTGTCAGCATTTCTATTCAGGAGACCCACAAATTGTTTTCCTAAACCCCGCAATACCAATTGATATGCTCCTCCTGAGTCTGTGAAGTAAATGTTTGGGAAAAGATGAGAGTGATATACAATTAAATGACATAGCTTTGAAACTGCTGGAATCACAGCCCCTTTAAAATCCTCAGCCTGTCAGTATGCTGATCCGTGTGTGTTCCAGCTTAGGAGTTTGGATGCTTACTGCTGGTATTGTGTAAAGTGGGTGTTCCGGGAAGTCACACTTACGAATTATTGTGTGCCCCAAGTGCTTCCGGGCATAAAATTTCTCTAACAGACAGCCGCTGACAGATCGGGAGAATCTGGCTCAAAGTGTCAGATAACTTTTAACTCTAATATAAGTATTGAAAGTATCTTCTGGGTCTCTTTTCCTAGGGATCTGGCCAAAAACAACCGGGATGTTCTAGGAAGCACACATTTCCACCACTGGCCTAACATCTTCCTCACAGCTCAGGACGCTGCTTTTTTAATTGCAGTAAAAACACATAGCATGAGAGCTACCCTCTTCACATGTTTTTAAGTGCATGGCACAGTACTGTCAATTACAGGTTCGCTATTGTACACCAGGTCTAGAGCCTTTTCATTTTACATAACTGAAACTTTATACCCATTGAACGGCAACTCCCCGTGTCCCCCTCCCTGTGGCCCCTGGCAACCATCGCCCTTGCTGTTTCTATGAATGTGACCATTTAGGTATTCCATATAAGTGGAGTCATGCAGGATTTGTCTTTCCGGGGCTGCCTTATTTCACTTAGCATCATGTCCTCAGGGTCCCTTCCTGTGTCTAGTCATTACCCTGCCCTTCTTGGAAGATCACAGAAAATGTTTATATGAAATAAAATAGTTCATTTACTAGGAGATTGGGGGATGGCGGTGGGAGGGGTCAGAACAGAAAGACTGATTAATTCTTATAGGAAGTAGGGACAGGGAGGCTTTTAGCCACTATTTTTATCATTGCTATTGGAAGCAAAGTTAATTGGGTGCTCCCCTGTGCCAGGCCTGGTGATAAGGGCTTCCATTACGCTGTCACATCCATCCAAGCAGCTCCCCGATGAGGGAGGCACTGTTATTACCCCCACTTTACAGATGAAGGGAATTGAGGCACAGAGAGGTTAAGCAACTTGCCCACGTTTACAGAGCAGACGGGACTAGAGGCGGGATTTCCCCTGTCTTTGAGCACGGCTGTGCTTCTTTGCTAGCAGTCACTTAGTAAAAAACGTTTTTGTTTTTTTTCCCTTTGAACCCAAGGGAGTACAAATATAGCCTGTATCAATGGAGGAGAAAGTCCTTTGTTTGCTTCTTTTAGCTAAGAAATAAGGAGAAAGTACCCTTGGCCTGGGTCCACTGACTTTGTCTGGGTATTTTGTTCTGCAGATGGGTAGGTGGGTCAGAGGAGGATCTACATACAGCCCAGGTACAGAAGTCACAACGCTGGACGTGGCAGGTGTAACCTTTGAGGTTTTCTGTTGGACATAGGGTATGTAGACCTCACCACTCTCAGTGGCATAAACTTACTGATAGTTTCGTAAAAAGATGCGCAAATTCCGTAAAACCCAACTAACCCATGTGAAAGTATCTGTTCTGAGTTACGTGTGACATTAATTGGTGGTGTGCTCCTTTCCGAGGCTGTACTCTTTAGTCCTGGTGGGTGCATTTTCTTGGCGTTGCATGAGATCAGGCATAAAAGCTATGGTACTGTGGGGGACCTTATTGCTTTACACTCCCTAGATAGGATTTAGTGCCTAACTTTCTATATTCTCACACTTTTATTATTTCTGTGGCATTGCCTTTCATTTAAAAAGACTTTCACTAAAAATTGCTTGTTTAATTTACTCATAAGAATTGCAGATTATGTGAAAACTGGCTATATCCATGAACAAATCCTGTTGAAATAATATATTTTGCTTCATTCAAAAGTTATGGGATCTGCTTCTGTATGGAGAGTGCTTTACACATAGTAGGTGCTCAATAGGTGTTAACCAAATACATAAAAATTTGCTTTAAGATCTGATTTCAGGGGGCCATAGGTCTTTGATGCCATCAGTGGCCATTCAGATTTGTTAAGTGAAAAATAACTTTTTTTTCGCCCTCTAGGCCGCTCTGAAGACCGGGACATAGATAAACACACTTTGCTGGAACCTCCATGGCGGAACCAGGGAATGTCCCGAGAGGTGACAATTGTTATTAAGCAAACAATAGAAACAAGTCCCTAAGAGTTTATGCATCAGGATCAGGAAAAAAGGGGTCAGAATCCCAGTCCCAGTTAATACCGGTGGCGTGACACTGGGCTAGTTATTAACCTCTTCAGACACACTCTTTCTTTTCTATAAAGTGGGCATTATAGTAACAGGGGGCAATACGTCAAGCAATGGTTTTTTAAATATTCTGTGAAATAGCACAGGGTCTGGTACTGTGTAAGTGCTCAGTAAACATTCATTGGATCTTTTGGTGGCTCTAAGTGTCTCTTGGTTTGCTGTTTGAAGAATTCTGTTTTTGACATGTTATACTCGTGAATGGTATTTCAAATCAAAAGCCATCTTAAGAAGCAACGTAGACTCAAATCTGAGAGGGAAGTCTTTAAAATCAGAGCTGTAATTCAGAACATTATGGTTATATAAACATGTTGAGGATATAAGCATTAAACTTTAATAAATTGGTTTCTATGTAGTAGAAATAATCTCTAAAAAACATTTAAAATCAAGTAGAATTTTCTTTTTATAGCTGGCATGGGATTCACATTTTTGAAATGTGCTGTGGTTACAATGGTGAACAAGATACTGTCTCTCTATTTAGGGAACTTACAGTCCAATGGATATTTAGTGACCAAAATTATGACATAAGAGAAGTAGGGAAAATATTAATTCCATAAAACTAATTTGACAGTGTAAAGCTGAGCATTTAATTTGTACTGTGGACTACTGGGAATGCCATGCTTTTTTTTTTTTTTCTTCTTCTTTCTTTTTTTTATTGTGAAATAAACATTTTGTTAAATTAGTTTCAGCTGTACAATACAGTGCAATAGTTATACTTTTTACCCCTCAAACTGACAACCCCCCCCAATCCAGCGCTCTGCTCTCCGCCATATCATAGATATCTATTACAATTCCCTTGACTCCACTCCCACACTATACTCCATGTCCCGTGACTATATATATATTCACTTATAGTTGACATACAATATTATACAACATCAGCTTCAGGTGTACAGTGCAGTGATCAAGCCTCTACCCCATCCATGAAGTGGTCTCCCTAACAAGACATGTGACCATCTGACACCTTACAAAATATTTACAACATTATTAATTATACTCCCCGAATTGTCTTTCATATCGCTGTAGCAATATTGTAGTTACCAATTTATGCTGTGTAATCCCTTCCCCTTCTCCCTCACCCCCACATAGAGAGTAAATTTAAACCTTTTAAAGCTGTGCATTTGTCACTATTGTGTGTGTGCGCGCACACGTGTGCACGTGTGCATGTGTGTGCATGCATGTGTGCATGCATGTGTGTTTGTATGTGTGCATGATCATAAGTTGAGAAAACAAAAAAGTCCTCTTTTATTCCAGCTCTCATCACTTTGTTTGTAGGAAGAGGAATGTTTTCCATCCGACCCTTGAGTAAGGATACTATTTCCGTGAAGGGACAATTATGTGCATACATACATACACTGACATGCAAGGCTCATACACTGCAGTCATGTAAACAGTGAATCGCTTATAAACAGCAAAATCTCTCCAACAGAGGAAGTAGTATTTATGCTAAGTTTTCCACGCACATTCATTTTTAAGTTTTCTGCTTTCTTTCAAAGTCTGCTGGGCAGTGCCATCCACAGTTTTAGCAAAAGAAAGGCCCAAATCTTTCCCTTCAACACCGACAGGAATCACGAATATTCCATGCCTTCCTCGTCGTTTGACTGGGGTAACTTGTGACTTCGTGTGTGACTACCAGGTGCCCTGTCTGATGACAGTTACAAGCAAAGTATAGATGCTTGGAAAGACTGTAGCCCAGTCCAGATAGCCCAGGAGGGTGTGGGCAGCAAAAGTGCCGCTTTCTAGGGAAGAGCATAGCTGTCCTGCCGCACTTGCACGAAAGCCACTACAGGAGAGAGAACAAGCACTCTTATATCTACCCCATTTCTTTCACGAATGAAACGAATGACATGAAAAATGAATGGAGACTTCCGATCTAACGTCACCTTGTATAGTGTTACTTAAGGGCTTTCTCAGCACTAGAGACAAAAAATAGTTTCTCAGAGTGGATTACTCTTGTTGAAATTAAACCCAGTTTTCATAGCTTGTAAGCTGTATGTAGTAAACTCTCTTTATTTTCAAGAGAAGAATTAGGCATTCTTTTCTATTTTAATTTGCTATTAATGTTAAAAGCATGTCTGACTGCCCTCTGCTATCACAGGTGTCGTCTGATGGAAATGCTGGCTCTTGAGATGAACTCTGATAGTCTGTACGTCCAGGTGAACGGGAACCGGAAACATTTATAGCGCTCACTTCGTTGCACTGAACTTTTGCTCTCTAACTGTATCCTCCTGCTAGAATTAAGGTGGTACCTTTCCCAAATCATTTGAAAATCGTGTGTTTCTAACCCAAAAGCCCAGGATAAACGTATGCCTGAGGAAGGAAAACCACTACCTAGAAGCAAAAGAGATGAGCAAAGCTGTGTTCATTTTATTTCATTTTCCCATTGGCAGACTGACTTACAGTCAGTCATATAATTGACATTTTCTGGGTGCCCACAGGGTGCCTGAAAAAGAGGCATTGTGGAACTGAGGTCAGAGCAGAGGTGAACCTGGAATTCCTACCCCTGAAATGGGAGTGAGGTGAACATTTAATGCCCGTACGATGTCATGTACCGCGTGAAGTTTCTTAGAACAGCTCAACTCTGAATTGCAATTTGATGGATAGATGTTGTATCATAAGCATATTTCCATTGTACTGCAGGGTTGTTATTAAATTTTATAGCTAGATGTATTCTATTTTAACCATTCATACTATCAAACTTTTAGATTGTTTTTGAACTTTTGCTATTATAGAGAGCATTATTATTTAAACAGTAGAAATTTGAAGATCGCCTCAATGTCCAAAAATAAATAAAATGGTGAAATAAATCATGGCATGGAGGCACCATAGAGGATTATATATCATTAAAATGATTCTTGCCCAAAGTAAAGCAAAAACTGCATTAGACACACACATTTATACATTACAAGCTCAGCAACACAACATTTTGTATACATATAAAAATATCAAGGAAATTTTATTTGTGGCTAATTCCATATGTGGGGGTATAGAAGATTACTAATGTTTTTTCTTCTTATTCTTTACTTTTTAATGTTTTTCTCTAAAGATCGTGTCTCATTTTAGAATCAGAGAATATCTATATGCCTAAAGTTTCAAGAAATTTGATTTTTGGATCAAAAAATAAATTTGTTTTTATAGTTTTAAAAGATATTTCTAGTTTTCTTCCTCTGGATGATTTCTATCAACTTAAACAGGCACCAAGAATATCAATAATAATAGCACTGTGTCAAAACAAGAGAAAATAATATCTGCCTTATTTAATAAGACTACTTTCGTGCTATTTTAATCTGCATTTCTTTGACTAGAAGATAACAGGATGGTTTTTCCTTGCCTGGTTTATAATATCTAAAAGGTATTTCCTTTTGTCTTAGTTGCACACACACACACACACACACACACACACACATCCTTTTGTCTCTATTGTCTTCCCTTTATAAGAATTCTTTATATAACATTAACATTTGTGGCAAACATTGTCCTTTGGCCGCATTCTTTTTATTTTATGTTATTTACTCTTCAGCAATTTTAAAAGGCCAAATTTGTTCATATTTTCCTTTGTGATTTTATCATTTCAGAAAAGTTTTTAGCCCTCCAAAGTTCTACACATATTAAATTTTTTTTCATAGTTTTGTAACTTGTTGGCTTGTTTCCTGTGGTTTTCAGTTAAACATTTTAAGTGAACATTTGTACAGTAACGTTTGTTGTATTGGCCTATGTTTTTTCCAATGCTAATAAATGGTCCTGGCACTATTTATTTACATTTTTATGATGCTTGTTTTAACTATATATATATATATATATATATATATTCACAGTATTATAAGCATATATAAACATATAGAAAATTTGTGTATAAATATGTGTGTATAGTGTTATCCTTAAATTTATTATTTTGTTCTTTAACTTGTACATCTGCCTAGACGTTTGTACATCTGTCTAAAATACATACAATTTTCATTAGCTTTAATCTTAATGAACTGTAATAGTTTATATGTTGCTACACACTCATTACTCCGCCTTTCATGCATTTTTAAATATTCTTGCCTCTTTACTTTTCTAGATTCATTTTACTAGCAATTTCCATCATGCTCCAAGAAAAAGAAAATCCACTTGAGATTATTTAAGACTGAGAATTATATTAAACGTACACATTAATTTAGAAAAACTGAGTAACTTAAATAATTATGAAAAAACTTAATAATTTATTTGAATTTAACTGAATTTTCTAAGTCCTTCTACCAAGAGAGAGCGATAAACCCTGCAGAGACATAAATGGATATATAATTTCCAAAAACCCTGTATCTTTGCCTTTTCTCTCATAAAGCTCTGGGAAACAACAGCCCTCCAGGAACACACAGAAACTTAACCTTTTCTGAGTTGCTAATGGTTACGAGTGAATATTCCACAGCTCATGGGAGTAGTTCCCCAAAACATTAAAATATTTAACCAATTAAAGATTGCTTAGGTTAACAAAACATCTTGAGGAGGAGACGTTAAACCTAAAAGTCCTTATCTCATGACCAATTATGAAATCAGATTTCCTAAGAGCTGAGATTTTGAAATTAGGGGGCTGATTAGAAAGGAACAGCTAATTCTGGGTCACAGGTGAGTTGTGGGAAACATAGATCTTATCTGTATCACAAATTTACAACTTTGAATAGTCAGAGAGAATCAGGGTATCTGTGGAGAGTGGCTTGGGGGAGAGCTGTGAGCAGGCATTCCTTTTCTGTTGCAATTTTGTGTGGGGCCCCGTTTGTAGGGTAGGTGCTGATATTTGAGCCATGATATCAGTCCATGCCTTGATTCCCAATTCTCTTTTTATCCCAGTGACAACCTCTGATAGCCACTGCCCTGTATCTTAGACCCAATCCACATCTTGAGTCTATCATAGGAGAAACGTGAGAATCAGTAGCTTTCTCCGTTATCACTTGTCACACCGCACATATACATTGTGCCCAGCGCTGCGTTGCGTATTTTACAAATATTCTTTTATTTACTCTCCCAGAACAGATCTGAAGAGCACAGATCAGTCTAGCTTCCCATTGAATGTCTCCTAGTACTGTTGTTTGCCATATCCTTCAGAGCTTGCAGTTTTGCTGTACATGGATGGACAACAGCTTTCCAGGTGATCTCTACAGCCGCACTGAACCCCAGAACCTACATTCCTTTATGAGATTCCTCCTGCTTGTAATGCCAGCAGTGAGCTTTGGGGGAACTGGTGTTCTCTCCATGACCAGCATCCGGCATGAGCTTAGTTGTCTCTTATCCCCCTCAGGTCTGTTAATAGTCTGCTGTCGCGTGTCTTGTCACCTTGTCTTGCCTTATCTCGTCCGTCTACCCATTGCCCATCCCTCTTTTTAATATGTATGTCGTCAAGGATGAGCAAAAGGAATTCTAATTCTAATGCTTTCAAAGACCTTTAAGGAGACAGTACTTAAATTCAGTGCTGATACTAACGTGAACAACATGACCTCTTATACTGCTCATTGCTAGAGATTCTTGGCCCAAATAACTCCTAGTGAGATGCACAGCTGTTGCTTCTGTAAACCTGTAAATTTAGCTGGATATAGTTTCACAACATTACCATGTGCTGTAGGCTGTTGGTAAATAATCACTGATAGATGTTACCAAGGAAAGCCATTTAGGAGGGGGGAAGGAAAAACGGAACAGGAAAGGTAGAGTGCTAGACTTTGAGTAGGAGATCTTGATTCAATTTTTGGCTCTAAGTAGGTATAAGCTGAATGTCTCTGAAAGTTCATTAAGCCTTCTGAGCATTTGTAACATCATGTATAAAATACGGATTATATTATCAACTTACTCAAAAGACTTAACACAAAATATATAGCAAACACTGTATGAATTCAAGCACAGAGTAGGGAATCTGACCGATCATCAGGAAATGGATGGTACATTCAATGGGACAATTAATGACATTTATGGAAGAATTTATTTACAGGGTATGGACGGAGTTAAGAGAAACCAACAAGGAGAAAGCTGTTACTTAGGTCAGAAGGAGAAAGGGGATCCAGGAGTTACTCGACCATGGAAAAAGAATTCTACCTGTAGGAGAAGGTGGCCCTAGAGAAGATTTAGCTTAGGGAGAGTAAGCAGGAGCTGCAAACTCGCACTTCACGCCAGCACTATTTTTTTTTTTTAAGATTTTTATTGGGGAATTGGGGGATGGAAACAGCACTGTGGAATTGGAGGAAGGGGAACAGACAAGTTGCTGTCGTTTTGTTCTTCAGTCTAGTTGTGGAGGACGTTGCTTCACTGGCCCAAGTTGGCACCATCATTGCGCTCTTCCCAGGTGAGGCAGATCAGTCGCCGGCTTCTGGATGGCCGCTCACTGCGGCTGCTGGATACTCACGCTGGCTGCTGGCTACACACGGTAGCCCATGGCAACCCACTGCCACAGGGGCTGCAGCCTACACCGTCGCCGGTGACTCACGCAGCCCAGCTCCAGGTTGAGCTGTTGTTCAGCATCTTAGCTGTGGAGGGCAGTGTCACTGGCCCTCATATGTGGGATCCGAACCGGGGCCCTCTGGCATCCCAAGCCAGCTTTTAACCAAAGCGCCACTCGGCCGGCCCACGCCAGCACTATTAATAAACCCAATCATAAGACAGAAGGATTGGAGTCCAGTTGATTCAGACCATAAAGGGCGGCTTTCTGAGGCAATGAGAAAGTAGAGAAGAATGGGAATTGGATCTGGAGGGGCAAAAGGACTAACAGAACGCTCGTGAAATATCTGTTAAATAAATTAAAAACCAAAACAAAACATGGTTGAATCTGAACTCCTAAATTATTCCAAAGACAAAACAGTATGTTATATACTGAGAATGTGATGATAAAATGGAGAAAAATAATTATGGGAGAAGGTCATTAGGGAACGACACTCATTTTGTTAAAGATTTGAAAAGAATGGATAAATTAAAAAGCAATGAGAAAAACAATTGAAAAGAAAAAAGGCAACAAGAAAGGACTTTGAGCAAAGGCAAGTGTATTACTATAATAATAATAAAAATAAATTAAGTGTGGACCCTAAAAATGAGTATATCATACTATACTGTACTATACTATACTATTATAGTAACCCTATTATTGAGACTAGTGAAGGATGATTTAACTTTGAAGTTTAAAATAATTCAAATTAGAATGTTGTTTCTTGTGCTCTTGGATAGAAAGCCTAGTCTACATTTTATATCTATAGGGTCTTCAAAAGTAGGTAAAATTTTGAATGAGGATTTGGAATCTACATTCAGTTTTGCATTTGGTGCTTATGTGCTTGGTGCAGCGCTCACAGGAGACAGGTAACCACGTTGCTGCAACATAGAAGCCGAGGTAACTCAGCTTTCTAGATGGTTCCGAAAGGAAGAGTTTTCTTAACCAGTGAAGTGAAGGTGTTTTGTCGACTGGCCAAATAATTCTCCAGGTAATCCACCAAAAGAATGGTTTATTTGGGGAAAGAAAAAGAAACGAAGCCACCAAGGAGTGTGTGCAAGCGTGTGCAAGGGCACTTGCTGGCTGGTGTCTCAACCGGCTGCCCACGTGGAAAAAGGTGGAGAGACCAACACGGCTTCCCCCTTTATTGGCATCCCTCTCCTGGAAGTTACCACAAAGTTCAACAGGAAGTCAAGACTGGAGAGTTAACAAGGTGCCCAGTTCCACCCCTAGTCCTCCCCGCTCTATGGTTAAGCATCTTAAGATGCCAGTTCCCTTTCATCATGTTGCTAGTTAAATTATTTTGTATCTGTTTATAAGAAGGAGATTAAAATCACTTAACTGACCTGTTTTCTGCCTGTATATTTGATCAAATAAATATTAAAGTCTAACTGGTCATTTTCACAAGCATATACAGACCCCTGGTGGGCTTGCTGCTCCTTGCTGCACACTATACCAAGCAAATATGTAGCCGACCCTGCCCTCTTGTCAGTTGAGTACCTCTGGAAGTGGGAGGAGGGAGAAAATGCGTCTAATCGATTATGCAAATGCAAAGGCAGAACCGGAAGTAAGCCAATGAGATATTTAAGAGAAGTCCTGTCAAAGATTAGTAATCACATTGATCTGAGGGGACTTGCCTGAAGGTTGTGGCATTTGAGTTGGCTTCTGACAAAGAATAAAACTTCGATAGTTAGAACTGGGGGAGCAGGAAAGGCTTTCTACATAATTCAGGTTTATAATGATATTCACTGAGTATTTACTGAGTGCTTACTGCATATCAGGTATTAAATACCTAAATGCTTTATATCCAATTAACTGATTTCACTACTACTCAATTTTACATAGAAATGAATCCCTGACTACACAAGACTTCATGGATACCAAATATGCATATAACTACATATTTTCCAAAACAGCAAACATATTTTAGGTAGGTAGTAGGGTGTTTATCAAAAGTACAATGAAATTTCAATTTATTTCATATTTGAGAATTATGCTTCAATGGTGACTTTTTACAGTGACTCATTTAATTTCTTCCCTTTTGTCATAATTTTATTTTTTTGAGTGTTATCAAAAGACTACCAGGACTTAGCATATAAGGCAAAGAATATTTTTAATAGAAATTCCAAAAAGGTAAGTTATCTATAAAGATAAATTCAGTTTTGCAGGTCTTGGTGCAGTATTCAAGTAAGACGAATGGCTATGTTGTTGTAATATATAATGGAAGTAGCTCAGCTTTCTAGAATGGCTCTGAAATGAAGGCCACTTATATTTCACAAGAATTTATGCAACTAATTGCTA